AAATCCCCAAATCCCTAGATCCCCAAATCCCTAAATCCCCAAATCCCCAAATCCCCAAATTAAAAATAGCAAACCAAGAAATAGCAAATAAAAAGCCAAAAACTTGTCTACCTCAAAAAATACCCAACTACAATAAATTTGAAAATCCACAATAAAGTACCAAATTAACGAAAGTCAAAATTAAAAGCCAAAATTAACGTCGAAAGTCGCTGCAGACGAAAGAATTAGAATCATAAACATCGAAAATTCCCCGAATTTTCCATGTGCAATTCCATAAATTTTCCGCGAGAATTCGAGGATAAGAATGCGAGAGAGTCGGTGGAGGCGGGTTTACGATGTATTTCGAAGCCCGATCGATTCGCATCGACCCTCCCTTATTTTCGGCGATCCCTCGGGACGCGAACAACGGAGTCACGACCTCCTCCTCCTTCGTTATTTATCGCCGATTATTTCATACGTTTTACTTTTTTCCACTACGACCAGACATTATTTCGGACAACTTTAACCCACCTCCCTCTGCCCAGGATAATCGACGACCTTCCTTTGAAAAAATACTTTTGAACAGAGACAGAGATAGAACGTGGGTCAACCGGTTCAGAGACGCTTCTGGCGACTCCGGTGAATTATTTCATTTTATTTCATGTATTTTCGCACTCGAATTACGAACAAATTGCCTTGCTTGTTAAATATCGCTACCTAAACCCACGGATTTGTGGTTCGAGAGTTTTGTTGAGTTATTTGTTTGAAACGTTAATATGATGTAGCGAGGTGGTTGTATTTTAGGCACATTTTTTGCAATTATTTGTGGTCGGAATGGGTTTGTGCTTTTTTGGGACGCAACCGAAATTTTGTTCAGATGGTAGGAGTTTAAGTATGAAGGATATTTAGCATAATGTATATTCATTTTTGTGAAGTTATTTTATATCTTGGCTACATTTAGATAATAAATGAAATTTTGTTCAGATAGTATAAATTTAGGTATGAAAAATATTTAGCAAAACATATGTTCATTTTTATGAAATAATTTTGTATCTTGGTTACATTTAGATGATAACTAAAATTTTGTTCAGATAGTATAAATTTAAGTATGAAAAATATTTAGCAGAATACATGTTTATCTTTATGAAATCATTTTATGTCTTGGTTAGGTTTAGATAGTAACTAAAATTTTGTTGAGATAGTCTTGATATGAAGAATATATAGTATAACATATTTACTTACCCACAAGCGGCACCATAAGCGTATAAATCGGTTGTGCACCAGAAATAGCTTTTGTGATATTCTGCAACTGCGGCAGATAATCGATGAAACAGTTCGTATCTGGAACCAGTTGTCTGGGTCTCACTTCAATTTCAACAGACACCGAAGATTTTTGCAAGATTTGCTGAAACATACAAACAGAACGATGCAATTAGTAAATATTAAAATCTAATAAATAAACTTGATGTATTTCTCTCTAGAAACCAAAAAAATTCGTTCCCATTCAAAGTTCTCTCATGTCCCGAATCAATCGCGTTCCAAAAATAATTCGAACGCAAATGAGTATCGATCGACGTTCCCGCGTTCGAGACCTCGAACAGACGGGAAGCACGCGAAGAATCCGACGACGAGCCTAATTGTTCATGGGAGCACACCGTTGGAATGCAAAAATAAGCTCCTCGTTCCGTCACGTCAACGTATAAATGTCGTACACATGTCCAGGTGTTACGGCTATCATCAGGCTTCGCTCTTCGATCAGGAATCTGGGTGGAGTTGATCCGAATTTTTCGTATCGTTTATCAAGGTCATGTATATTCGGTTCCAAAGGTAGAAAGTGTATAAAAACTCAAATCTTCCGAATTCTCTAATTTTTATATTTGAAAAAATTTATTTGTTCACGTATCTAATTGAAGATGCTGGTATTAACCCATCACTACCTGATACATTTAACATCTATGTTATTTAGAATTTGTTCATGTATGCAATTAAAACTGCTCACATTAACCCATCACTACCTGATACATGTAACATCTATATTATTGATCATTTGTTCACGTACCTAATTTAACCCATCACTACCAAATTTTTATTTCAATTCTCTCACACAACTTGTCCATTATTTTCTATCAACTTCAAGAGGAAATCAGATACTCTAAAAGATAGGTAACATTGAAATAAAATATAATTTTGAAGACTATGATGCATTTTCCAGGTACAAATTTTATTTGACAATAATCCTCTTGCAAGTGATTAAAAGATATATTCAAACCCTCATTTTAGAACCATAGTTGCAAATGAATTTACTGCTTCAAATTATAAGAAATGATTGTAACAGAACATCATGAAAATACATGTAATTTTGAAGACTATAATGCAAGCATTTTCCAGGTACAAATTTTATTTGACAATAATCCTCTTGCAAGTGATTAAAAGATATATTCAAACCCTCATTTTAGAACCATAGTTGCAAATGAATTTAATGCTTCAAATTATAAAAAATGAATATAACAAAACATCATGAAAATACTTAATAAAAATTGTCATAAATGAAAATACTGCTCAAAACAATTTTTAACTACTTTGTCGAGGCCTTCAACGTTAAAAGAGTCATAAAACCAGTCAGTAATGTATCCATAAATGTTAGACGTATCTATTATGTCTTAGTAGGCGTATATTTCGATCATTTTCCCTTTCGATAGTTTCTCATGCCTGTCTCCTAACTGGAACGAACGTGTAATGTACCTGATTATGAATATACCCGACGTGTCCACCTGAATATCGAAGCAGGTGTCCCCATTCATTCAGCCGAGTTGCTGTCTACACGGGTAAGCGTTACCTCTACCTATTCAAGTGTCTGCCGAGTATAATCGAGTCTTCTCCACGACATTATCGACCGACTTCCCCATTCAAATCGATCACTGACACGAGTTTCGTATTTTTTCGATACGAAACATGGTACAATATAATTTCAATATATTTACTTAATTTTTTAAATAATTTCAAGTATGAAATTTTGTAATATGAAAATTTTAAGATGAAGTTCAAATGAAAAGGTTTATTTTAAGGCTTGGTATTGTTAACAAGATTATGCAATTCAATTGAAGAGGCAAGTTAAGGCTTGATAATATTAACAAAATTCTACAATTCAATTGATGAGACAAGTTTATTAGCTTGATAACATTAACAAGATTCTGCAATTCAATCGAAGAGGCAAGATTTTTAAATTTTATAATGTGACCAATTTTATGCGAGTCAATTGAAGAGGCAAGTTAAGGCTTGATAATATTAACAAGATTCTACAATTCAATTGAAGAGGCAAGTTTTGTAGCTTGATAACATTAACAAGATTCTGCAATTCAATTGAAGAGGCAAGATTTTTAAATTTTATAATGTGACCAAGATTCTGCGAGTCAATTAAAGAGGCAAGATTTATTTTAAGACTTGATAATATTAAAAACATTATGTAATTCAATTGAAGAGGCAAGATTTATTTTAAGACTCGATAATATTGAAAACATTATGTGATTCAATTGAAGAGACAAAATTTATTTTAAGACTTGATAATATTGAAAACATTATGTAATTCAATTGAAGAGACAAAATTTATTTTGAGACTTGATAACATGAACATTTACGAATTTATGAAGGTGGAAGTTCAGAAATAGAAGTTAAATACTGGAAAAGTTGTAGATTTGGAAACATGAAAATGACAAAATATGAAGCCCTGGAAATTAGAAAATATGAGAATTTATAAATTCTGAAACTTGAGGATTTGGAAATATGAATATGTAAAAATTCGAAAACCCCTAAATTTGGAAATATTGAAATTTAAAAACCCGCAAATCTGTCAATTCCAAAATATGAAAATGTAAAGACTCGCAAACCCCTAACCTTAAAACCTGGCAAACCCATAACCTTAAAACCACAAAAACCACCCCTAAAAAACTCATCAACATAAAAACACAAGACTCCGATTAATTTTGCAAATTCTACAAAAATTCTAAATTTCCACATGCCAGAATATAAACTAACAAAGATATATCCTAACAATATACAGTTCCCGTGCAGACTAACTCCACTGCATCGTGACAAGAGCACGAACAGTAGCCGTCGACCAAAAATCCAGCACCACTAATAGCGTTTGAATGACGCATAATGAAACGTCGTTGAAAATCGTCTCAAGTATTACGGATTCCTAGGCATTTTTGGGTAGCAGTTGAATTCAGGAATGTCAGCTTTCTTCCAAGCAACAACGTACACGCGATACATGATAATTAGCCGCGGAAACGGAACGTCTTATTCAAACGTCAAATTGCTCGAATGATAGGCCGCGTTACCGCTTTGATTCTTTTAACGGTACATTAAAGTTTACGAGATTGCCCGTACGTGTGAATTTAAACTCGCATTCCATGCGTTTCTGTTCCACGTTCTAATTAATAATACAATCTATATCGATTTTTACGAGAGGGTATTTGTACGGATTTTATATAAAATCGATTAGGAATTTTTTGCTCGACAGTTTACCACCGTTGCAATTTTCAAGGGTTCTGATTTAAGCAGTCACAGATATTAACACGTTTATAAAATATAAAGTTCTAATTGGAGCACTATAGTTTTAATAAAACGTAGTATAATAATGAGACTTTTTATCGTTTCATTTTAGGATTCAATAACTGCTTCTTCTTAATATTCTCTGTAATTAAATCTCTAATTATTTATCTGCTACGGTCTTTTTAATACAACCTACAAAATTTTAAATCGTACCATTAATGATTGTTTGTCCCAGTTTATTAATTACACATACACTACCGTCCATAAGTATTCGGACACTTCGTTACATGAAACACAGTTGAACTTTGTACGAAAGGTATTTAGGGTTATCATATCATTTGTAATAATTATTATTATCTTTCTTGAGGTGTCATAACGTAATAGAATTAATTTTTAAGTACAAATTATACAACGAGAGTGTGAAAGTAAAATTCATGTCCAGAAGTACAAAGTCCAAATTTGTGAATCCAATGAAACGCTTTCGATTCTAAAAAAAATTTTTATTTCTACTGTGTTTCATTTCTATGGTGCACAACGTATTCAGAGGGTTCTTCGATATGTTTCAAGTGTTTGTAAATTGTTGGTAGATGTTTAGGTTCCCTCAATGGAGATAAGAATGAAGGTAACGCAATGCACTCGACAGTTTCGGTTTAGTTCGTCTGTAGCTTCTTTTCCATCGAGATACGAGTTCCAAACGAGAATTATCAATCGAAAAACGTTCCAGTATTCTGACCTTCGCAGAAAAAAAATCGATTTTAGTTACTGTTGCAGATACTTGAATAACTTTCATGCAACGCGAATGCATATTTCGCTTGTGTCCGTATACTTATGGACGGTAGTGTAAGTGTGTTTCACGCTAGTAAATGGACCAGACCTATAGTCATCAATAATTATAAAATAAATGAAAAAAACATCTGAAAGAGTATTGATAATGGGAATAGTAATATTAAGTACCGAATCGACGTTGCACGCGTCTCGAGCGGTGAACCTGTCCTTAACGCGGCGCGAGTAGGTTTCCGCGTGAGCAGAAGAACGTTTACGATGTTCTAAGAGGCGGGCACGCTTAATATGCGTGGGCGTTGGAGCCGCGGTGCGTGATTCAAGGTAGGTTCTCACGAACCACTCGTGCTTGCCTGGGTGTTGACGAAGGGTACACGGGACGGAGGGGAACGACGTGACAGAAGACCAAGCAAAAGTGACGAACACAAGGGAGGAGACGGACAACGGTACGACCACGCTCGTTTAGGAATTCGCGAATAATTTAAACGGGAGTAAAACGCCTTGGTATTCTTCTTCGTTCCTTCCTTCTTGTCTAGCGATATCGTACTTACTTGATACAAGTCACTTTTACTTAGAATATTTTATTTTGAGAATAATTCATTTTCTGTGTGTAAAGCATTTTTGGAAAATTTGTTTTAATATTTTGTTTTATTGTAATTGATTATATTGACTGATGTATTGTAATCGACTGTACTAACTGATATATCGTAATCGACTATATTGACTGATATATTGTAATCTACTGTATTGGCTGATATATCGAAATCGACTGTATCGACTAATATATCGTAATCGACTGTACTAACTGATATATCGTAATCGACTATATTGACTGATATATTGTAATCTACTGTATTGGCTGATATATCGTAATCGATTATATTGACTGATATATTGTAATCTACTGTATTGGCTGATATATCGTAATCGACTGTATTGACTAATATATCGCAATCGACTGTACTAACTGATATATCATAATCGACTATATTGACTGATATATTGTAATCTACTGTATTGGCTGATATATCGTAATCGATTATATTGACTGATATATTGTAATCTACTGTATTG